TTCTCTTAAAAAAGTATCCTTTCATGTATGAGCAGTATTTTCCATTTTCTTAACATATTTTTTTACATTTAGTAATATATTAATTTTCAGAGTACATTCAGAATATATTTTGGGACACACATTTTTTCACAATTCTTTTTTTCACTTAGTTTTGAATTTTATTTATTTTATTCGCTTTGACTTTATGGGCTTACCTTCTTTTACGTTATGGTACAATTTACTCATAGATATTTTTGGTAGATTTTGTTCTTTTTATGATGTCATCCCGCTAGACTGAGAAGGAAGGATATGAAGTTTTACTAATGTTACTAAAGTCCTTACAAGTGGTACTTAAAAAATCAAATCAACTAAGATCACACTATACACTACCACATATGGGAAGTGGTATGGTCAGAAATACTTTGAACAGTGTTCATCGTTGGGCCGTCAGCGCATTGAATTTGCCCAAAATACCTGCAAAATTACCCGCTGTAGGTTACGCACAAAAAAACATAGCAGACATATGGACAGACAAATATCAAAATGTGCTTCAAAATCGATTCGTTTTGTAAAACTTGGGTTCATTTCAAGTCCTTTTGTGTGTTCCTTGCATCCGCAAAAAGTGAATACACGTTTGTACCAAATATGGTGTAGGGTACAATGGAAAATGGAGTTTTTAAAATATTTAATTGCTTATAAAGTGCGCCAAAATGGATGTATGATATGATATACCATGGATAGATTAGGGAAATAGATTTTTCGAAACTGGTGGGAGGTATTAAAAAGTTCGGCCGCGACCACCGCTAATTTCTTATAGCTAATAGGCAACATGGAGGGAAATTTAAGAAATATTCGAGTTTTTCTCCAGATTTACGCGAATGTAAAGGAATTTTCTATTTACCCGTTTTTTTGCAGATAGAAGCCGAGTAAAAATTTCAAATTCATATCTCCAGAATATGTATATTGTAGTGTGATCGCATACTATCGTATGCATCCACTTGAAGTGTGACAAAATTATGCCACTTCAGCATAACCCTTTTGATAAAATAAAATGTCCCACTTAACTTCGCATGTAAACAGTGATAATTCTGTTTATGTAAGAATAATCTAGTGTGTGATAAGGATAATTTAGTAAGCAATTACAATCCTGTTTAGAATAAGATAAGAATAATTTAGTGTAAAAATTTAGTATAAATAGTGCCTAAGAAAATAAAGAAAAGCAGTTCTCATAAAGCAACTCAACCAAGCGTTTTACTCGCTAATAGCACTAGGCATTCAATCTGCCTGAACCATTAAGATTACGGACCGTCTTATGCCGAGACACTTTAGCATTATAAAAGACGGTTAGACTTGGCGTACTGCAGCCGAGCAGCATAGGGCCTAAAGAGATAATCTAAACACATCATACTATATCAAAACATTATAACAATATATATATATATATATATATATATCTTATAAAGTTCTCGATTCAATTTTTCTTTGTCACAAGTCAAAAGGAGAAATGAGTATAACCGCATATGCTGTGGGCGCGTTTAAAACAACTTAAAACAACTTAAAATACCACAATAGTATCGTTCACCATGTGTTTCTTTGCTGCGCTCTTTCACGCACTATAATCATCGGCTAGGCTGTTTGTTTGCATGGAAAAGTATAGGGCGAGCCTTTCTTGTAACCTGAATTATTAAGTGTAACATTAAGATTTTCATAGGAGTGCGTGTGGGTTTTGGGTTGATTTACGTAAAAACGTAAAATCGTGGCATTGGCATATTTCGGGAAAGCTAGAACACCAATACATACCTGTATGTACATATACATATGTATATCTATATATATATATATATCTATGCCTATGTGAGTATATGTATAAACACACATCTAAGTATATGTGCCTATTTATGTATGTAGATATGTAAATGCATGTGTGTATATGTCAAGGTCAAATGAGATTTATAGACTAAAATTTATTTAATATTTGAAAAATCACTGAAAACACCTGCAATTAGTTCAGTTCAAAACTATTCGAATTATAAAAATTCATATTTTATATTGTTTGTATACAATTTAAAATAATGTTAAAAATATGTCAGAAGATTTATAATCGTGATAGGGATTCCGCCGTATTATATGTAGTAACGTTACTAAAAACATAATTGTTTTAGAAAATTTCATTTTCAAGAAACCAAGAGTGGAATACATTATTTTTATTTGTACGTTGATATATCTTTTCTTGTTTTGCAATCTTGGTAATTAAATTTTCTTTTTGCACATTTTCGTATTAATGACAATTGTTTCTATAAATTTTTTTACGCACAACACATATACAAGATTGTTATCTTGAACTTATCGAACGAGCATAAAACCAAAAACGTACTGGTAATAGAGAGAGTACTTGCCGGTAGAGGTTCTTAAATTTTTCAAAATTTAGTCTTAAAATGTCGTCAAAAATTAAAAAAATTCTTTTTCTTAAATTCTATCTTTTCTACTCAATAAAACAAAACTATTTTAATTAAAACTTAAATTAAGCTGAATTTTCTGAAAATTTTGTTATATATGTACGTTGGGTTAGAGTTTTAAAATATATGCGGTACAAGATAATGAGGTACAATTCTACAATAGCGAACCCAAGACGAATGATAACGAGCTGTGTTGCGCGCATTAACACGCTTGCAGCGATGCATTAACAAAGCTATCAGTAGACACACGCTTATTAATGGTGGCCAAGCGAAACGGAGATACAAAGGTAATGTTAAAGATAACAAGGCTATAATGTCTCCCAAATAATTTGGTTGTCGAACGAAACCCCAAACTGAGTGGGTTAGCAAACGTCTGCCTTGGAAAGTATGTATGCTGTCGACGTTAGTGAAAAGAGGATGGTTTGGTTGCAACCGGTACTTATATTTCATCGCGTTACTAAAACGTTTAAGAAAGATGCCAATAGATAGTAATACCAAAGGGGTCCAAATGGCAAAACAACACGTATAGGATGTCCGACGTACAAAAAAGTATTCCGCTACTGCTGTCAGTAAGTATGGAGTAACTGCATAACGCAGCAACAACAGGCAACCGAAACCTTCACCTTGCAATTCAAACGAAGACGCCAAGTGGTGCTCAAATATAATGGAATCGAAAATATAAATCAAAAGCATGCCACTGCATAATAACATGACTGAATCGTATTTCAAATGTTGAGCAAAATAACTGATCAACTGCCAATTCCTTTTATCGTTCGGCAACCAAGGTATGAAAACACTTTCACACAAACAAGAAACAGTATATAATAGTGTAGAAAGCATTGATGTGCGATAGAAAACTTGCTTATACTCTACCAGATTTAACCACTTTGGATTTAATTGCCGGCCTAAAGCATAATCGACGAGAAAATTGCCACTCTTTGCATAATTATTGAATTGGATCAAATCTCTCTGGCTTAACATATCCGAACGTAGGTAAGCCCATAAGGCGACTACATAAGCGTTAATAATTCCATAAATACCAAAACGTTTCTGATGTTGTATAATGAATTCAGCTGCTGGATATTTCCAATATTGTGCACATATGAAGGCAATTAAAATCGTAATAGCCATCGGCAGGGCAGTGAATTTATAGCATGCACTTCCGGGTAAACGCACATATCGACCCGGTAATAAAGCTGAAAGGACGAAAACACCAAAATGAAGAGCTAGATATGCTCCCACAGATGGTCCATCGAATATTTCTGTAATTAGATGGGCGATATTAAATGGAGCTCTGATGTTGGGTATTTTTAGTGAACATTCAAAGTTCACGCAACACCATTGAAGATAATAAAACACTGCTGGTCCTAACAGCATAAGCACACTCGCCCCGAACCAGCCACCAAATTCTCGTGGAGCTTTTACTTGGCGACACAGAGTGTACTCAGAATTGGTGACGTTAAAACTCTTGAATTCGTCATCCCCTTCGGCCAAGTAATCACCTTCCATATCTGCACCGTCTGAGTCGGAATATTCTGCTTTGGAAAAGCGACCATCTTCTTCGTAAATAGATCGTGACACTGACCGACTGTAACGGCTTTCGTTCGTCGTTAGCACTGATCCCTCTCGGGTCTCGGTACCTCCTCTAGTAGTAGAAAATGTTTTTGACACTGAACGTCGTATATAATCTGCAAGTTTATTAATCTCTATTGACGATTGAGCACTGCTAGTATGAATTTCAACTGTTTGTTGCGTTGTCGAACTGTACGAACTGTGTACTGAAGATGTACTCGCTATTTTATTCGGTGCCAAGGATGCAGTGTTAGTCGTTAAAGTAGTAGGCAAATTTGTATGGTTAGTTGAGTTTTGGAAATCCTGGAAGGAAAATACAACAAACGTGAGCAAGAAAAAGAAAGTATAGAACCGCAGCTTACTTCTTCTTCCTTCACATTTGATAAAGGTTGCGTAATGGCTGCTTCCGCAATGGTTGTTGCAGGTACAGTTGATGGTGGTCTTGAAGTTCGCCTTGTGCGACCGGGAGAAGCGCGTTTAGGTGATGACGATCTTGTAGGGGCGGGCGAATAACGCTTCAAAACTGCTCCTTGCTCATTAACAGCTGTAGAAACACCACTGGCTGCGACCGCACTTCGCCTGCCAACATTGACAGGTGTTGATTTTGTGGTCGTAGACGCCGTATTCGACACATCAGCCTTTTTAGTGCGCCCTCGTGTAATGCGTTGATTTTCCATTTTCGTTCTAGAATTGCGATGCCGTGTCTATACCTGCAAGCTAAAAACACATATGTGTGATTTATTTTTAGTTTTTCTTTCACAGGTTTGGTTTTTTGGGAGCTACTTTTATCCAACTTATCTTTTCCCGCCTAGCACGCCTAGCAGCACAGTCAACTGTACTAAACATGAATCTTTTTTTCTTTATACATTACCATACACTTTAGAACTTTCACTTACATTTAACTATTTCATAAACAGATTCGTGAAAAAGCGTGCATAAGAATATAAAAATATACTACTTTCCGTTTTTTAGATTTCTAATTTAAACAGTTACTCGTCTGACAGGCAACCCCATAAATCAAACCGACGCCGTCATTTTTAACAAAAATATTTTTCGGCACTATTGTTAGCAGAGCAGTAGAAAAGTGGATTATAACAGCGTTGCTATTTTATAATCCTACGATATTATCAATATCGTGAAATTTACTTAAAAATATTTTTTGTAGTATTTCTGAGATTAAGAAAAATTACGTAGGCAAAAACTTTTTTCAATATTTAATTCCAAAAAGATAATGAGCAAGGTGAAAAAAGTAACGCAGGTTAATATACCCCAATGGAAACAATATAACAGTAAACACGTGATGTTCAATAAAAGCTATATGATCTTAAAAAATTCATCAAAATTATTCAAAGAACAAAAACAAGTTAATTTTTAATATTTATAATAGTTTTGTTGCTAATGAATCATGAGCAATACGAGAGAGAGTCTTAGATTTATATTTTTAAAATATTTCAATCTCAGAGTTGCTTTCTGCTCCCTGCAGTTGTATGCCCTAGGTTCTAATAGTTTATAGAAAACTCTTGTATAAAATGCATTCATTTCTTAGATTAAGCTGAGATTCTTGGCGAGTTATACGATTGATTCTTCTAGATTTTAATTAAAGTGACTGACGTTTATCACGATTACCATTCAAAAATAGTAAAGGACAATAACCTCTACGTATGAACGACGAAAAAAGACGATGACCTTGCTAAATGGAATTATATTTATTTCGAAATTGGTGGTCAGGGATAGTGACTACTCATTCTACAATTTGAAGTGATCTTCGTAGACATCAAATATATTACAAAAAGTAACTAGTAAACTAATTAGTCTGCAACGTACTTACAATATTTTCTCGCGTATTAAGCTTAACCACTATAATTATTTCGATGCATTTCCGTTGAGTTGTAACGTGATTCAATCTTAAGATATGGCTAAAAGTTAATGTTAAGAAGATGAGGGCTTTAGCTGGTAAAGATTTAATGGTTATTTCACTTATGCAATCAAAACAAGGGTTTTTCTTAACCTTTACTTTGAATATATAAATGTATACATTATATACAGGAATCGGGATTTTTTAAAACATTAAATTAATTAATTTATTATTATTACTGTTATTACTATTAATTTAACCGGAGAAATAAATTCTAAAACTAGTGCTAGCATCTAAGGCACGTAAACTGTATATTGCCATAGTCGCATATGCAAACAGTTTTTTTTTTTAAATAATGCGTTGTGGTAATCGTATTTTCTGAGGGTGGAGAATTTGTGGTTGGCAATACTGTTTGGCGTATCAAAAAATCATTTATTGTAAAGTCGTTGGTTCATTGTTTTTGATGTAAAATAAAATAGTGAAGAATAAGCTGTCATAATAAAGAAAATGTAAGTAAATTTCTACACAAAGAAATTACTTCCCTCTATATGTATATGTAAATTTTTTCGGTTTTTTGATTGTGCAACGACTAAATTCCAGTTTTCTAATTTTTCTTCTCCTTTCATCTGATGTTACATATTTGAATAAACTTTGCAAATACTCTATTGGAATATTATTTGGACGGGCACGGACGAACATCTTTCGAAACACTTAATTTATTAAATGAATAAAACGCTAAATATAAAAAGCGAGCACTCACAGAAATAATTATAATGACGACACCGCAGTCACCTAACCGCATATTTAATGGTCTTGATGAGGATATTTATAATGAAGCGAAATTTGCTCACGAAATCAATGACAAGATGCGTGTACCGAAACGCATTAAGGCGACAGGCGAATTTTCAGACGATGATTTACTGCTATCGAATCAAAACGGGATGATAAACAGTTGGAATTACCATGAGAAATTCGATATGAATGTGCCCGATCGTATTGTAGTGCTCGGACATAATCAGCACTTGGAAACACGTTCCACTCCACGCGAAATTCAATTAGAGAATTCGATATTACCAAAAAATCCATCGGGAAATATAAGGGTGCAGACTCCACCGCGTACGATTACATTAAATGAACATCATTTTCCTTCGGCATCGGAAGAAAGCTCACCACATAAATTAACTAACGGTGATGATGATGATGATTATATGTGTGACGAGGATTACCATGACAGGATTGAAAGACCCGGTCTAAAGGTTTACCGGCCCACAAACGCTGTGGTAGGTTTTCAAATAAATGATGCTAATTCCGTGGAATCTGATTCACAGGTAATAATGAATGTCATGAGAACGTTTATGTGTGCCCACGCGCATATGTATTATCAAAAACAAAATGCGGTAACAATAATTGGTTAATATGATTTGTCTCATCTACGTCAAGACTTAAAAAATTAATATCAATTGGCAGGCGTCGATTAATAATTTATCGACAATCACTTCCTCATTCAAACTTAACAAATCCGTCAGTGAAATGAGACGAACTGTAATAAACCCGGGTATATATATTTTTAAAGAGAACACAGGAAATCTGACCTATTATTCCGAGTGAAATGTATGAAAAACGAGCATGACGCCAGTAAAAAGAGAAATACAAAAAAAAAAACAGTTTACGGATGACACGCATGAGGAGTAGCGAAGCATTTGTTTATTATTAAATGTCTTCCTCTATGCTCTGCAAACGAATTCCATTTCGTCGACTCTGTTTCATACATCGAAAACATTCAATACTTCCGAAAATTTAGTCGAAATGTTGCTTCTTCGTCTTGAACAAGCTCATGAGAGATCTAATAACGCAAATAGAAGAAATTAGTGACTTAATTGCTTTGGTAGCTTGGAAAAGTAATTAGAACATGGCCATAAAAATGAAAAGTAATCTTTGCATCTGCAGTAAATAACGAGAACTAAAAACTCTTGTGAGTGACTCTCGAAGGGTGTTAATGGCAAAATCGCAACGATTTGGCAAACTGGGAAGAAAAGAATATTAGTTTTGATTTGCGTAGGTCAAGTTGGGATAAGGGACTTAGAATTATATTTGTATACCGATGCAAAAAAAACGTTCAAAACAAAGGCTACACGTCTAACTCGCGCAAAAAAAATTCTTAACCAGATTTTAGCGATTTTTTGTTCCTTGCAATCATCAGCACTAAACATTGAAATCAAAACAAATATAAGTTTCTTACTTGTTCCATTTTTTTCAAGTTTATTTTAGAAATCTGAAAACAATGATAAAATCATTTATATTGACAAATATTTTTTTAAAGCCTTAACAAAAACACAAAACATTTTCTTTGTCTTATATTTTGGCTGTATTTATATCTTCGTTTTTACCACTCTATTGAGATAAAAATGGTTTTTCAAGATTTTGCGGTACTGTTTATATATGAAGGAATCCAGGGATTAAACAATTTTTTTTTATTTTATTTTTTAGTTAACTACTGGTGGCGCTAATAAAAGGTCGCCAAATGTGAACACTAATCCAAATGATATTTCCGTTGTGAGCAATCGCGAAGGCACACCAATTGGGGATTTGACGCCACATGAAGAAATATTATATTTAAGACGTCAATTGGCTAAATTAAATCGTCGCGTCTTAAACATCGAAATAAATAACGAACAGCGATTGCAACGCGAGAAGATAGTGTATTGCCTAGGGTTGGCGTACTTTGTTTTAAAAGCGATCTTTTGGCTTAATCGCAATTAAAAAGCGGAAAATGACTATTCAGCGATTAACAAAAACAGCAGCAGTCACCAATTGAAAGGGGAGCAAGAGAGAGATGCGCGTTCGATTCAAAAAAAAAAAAAACAAACAAACGTATTTGTTAACCAGTGGATGCCTATTATTGCTATACCAACCAGCCATTTAAATACATCACACCTGAATGATAGTCCACGCCATCATTAGAAAAAGAAAAAAAAAAGTTGCATTGTTAGCCATATAACGAAGCTTTTTATCAAATTTATTTTTTTATTTGCATTTTCATTCAATTTCATATGCATGGAGAAGAAAAAGTTTCAAAAGTACAAGTTACCAATAACGATGTCTATGACTTATTTTTTCTAAACTGATATTTGCTTTTAGATACTTGGTTAAGATAAACTTTCAGATTTTGTGGTGGTTTACGGTTTAGCGCAACCGCAAGCTATTAATGGACTGCTAAGTTTTCTTAAGCAAGTGTCACTAGCAAAATTTTTGCATGATTCCAAGTTCCAAAGAAATCCATGCCTTAAAATTTTCGACACTTTTTTTTTTTTTTAATATTGGGAAAAAAAATTTTTTTTATAAAATTTATTTTTTATCTTTTTTTTTTTTTTAATTCAATTTGCGAATTATATTTTTCTGTATTTATTTCAAGCCTTACAAGAATGTTTTGATTCTAGTTAGAGAAATTTTTATTAAATTTTATGATTAAGAAATTCACCTAAAATTCCCTTCCTTTATTGTCCATAACAATAAAAAAAAAAATACTGTTATTTGTCATAAGAAAAAGCAATTTAACTTGGGAATTTGTGTAAAAATAATTTGAATTTTTAGAAAGATGTTTATTTAATTTCTTTTTATTTCATCTTGCATGCATCGCTAAATGCATTGCTAAAGAGGAAAGAGCCACGAAAGTTCGATTTGAATAAATAAAAATTAGTAAAAACAAACGTTTGTCATAATTTGAATGGAAGATACGACAAATGGGAAAATCGAATTCACCTTAAGGAAAATCTTTGATACTTAATTCACTTGCTAATCGCCCAAACCTTTGCAAGAAGTAAACGCTTCTTCCTCGGCAAATTTTTGTGAGAATTTTAATATCTCAACCTTGCAGTAAGATATCCACCGGTGACGCAAAAAAATTCAATAAGGAACGTTTTTGATGGAAAATGAGGGGGATACCGGTTACAGGTGATGAACGGTGACGAGTGATTTATTATGGGCTTGCAATTAGACGGCACCGCGGTTTTGAAGAAGAATGCCGCAGATTTTGATGGGCGAAAAACTACAGCGTCATTTGTGTCCGTCCGGAAGGAGTATAAAAATGAGTTGAACAATCTTAAGCAAAATACTGCAATACGCAACGTCAGTATTCTTAATGCGATTCTAAACAACTATTTGCCTTTAACTCACGTTGCTTACGCGGGTTTATCTCGTCAATCTATCCGGTCGTCCTATGGTGACAAAAAGTATTCCTATTGCAAAATTCTGCCTAACCCAGTCGCATGCTTTACTCTCCTTAAGTATACTCTTGCCAGAATAATGCAAATTGTGGATCAGTTGTTCAAAACAATTCGACTTTCTTCTTATAGCTTCTACTTCGAAGTAAATGGATTAACATCTTGCAGATGTGGACTCTTTAAAATCCAGACGATTTTATCTTCGACTTGTATTATGATTGACGGTCCAAAGCGATTATGCCATTAAGCAAGTCGAATGCTCTCTCATTGAACAGTGTAAAGCGGAGATGTGTACCTTTTTAGAAATGATAAAGCGGAGGGAAGACAGTTTTCGTTCGAAGAACAATTGTATGGATTCGAAGGTCAAAGATAAAACGAAGATTTCTCATAGATTGAACCTGATTAACTTGTTTCCCTCGGAACTATATTTCCCGAGCTTGGCTTATCGAGAGCTTTTTTAATGCTTATCCGATTGTCCTTAAACTCAATATAAGTTCCTTTAGTGAAAATTTGTTCAATAAATTAGCATTTTCCAAAACTACGATCTACTTCCTACCAACTAGTATGGTTGCAATAATACTGATTGCCACGAGTGCTGTTTTTAGTGAAAATCGTAATCAACCTAGAGAATTTTTCAAAGTGCAAGAGAATCCATAAAGGAGTACGCTTTCATACCCATTAAATGTCAATTGTTTAAGAGCAACCTTTTTTTTTTCAACAATCCCTCCAAACAAAATGACAAGCCCCGATGGTAAAAAGTCTTCTTTTAAATAAACTAAAACGATTCATGCATCGCCCCTACCTCTCCCAAGGCTTCACACCCTTACAAAATTCGGCCTTTTAAATCTCCTTCGGATTGCAAGAGATTAACAATCGCAACCAAGATTGTAATTTACTTATTACCAATGAAATGAATTTAAATAAAAAAAAAAATATAAATACATATATTTTTTTTGTATAAACGTATTTATTTATTTATTATAATTTTAATGACACACTAAACTAATGCAAATTTTAATTGAGAATTGAAAAAATTTCACAACGGCATAACTTAAAAAGACTACATATTAAAAAAGAATTGCGTTTGACTTTTCATTTTTATTGGTGAATGAATATCGAAAACTACGGTACCACTTCCAATCCAGAGCAACACCGTTCATTCTTAAATATTCTACAAGTATTCAAAAAAAAAAAAAAAAACATTTAAAATCTAGCGCGCGGTTAAAGACGACTGAATCTCTATGTGAATTCATCTGTTCATCTGCTTTTGTTGTTTTCTTTTTCTTCTTTTCTTTAATTTAGGACGAACACAAACAAGTCAGATTTCTTTGCCATGAATGAAAATAAGAAAAACGATATGCCGAAATAAAACAAACCATTTCCCGGTTTGATACAATACGCAAAAAAAAACTGTAGAGCACATCGAAATTAAAATTTTGTATTATTGTTGAAAACCTGAATAACTCGGTCGTTATTTGCTAACAAATATATGCTTGTGTCTTATAGTTTGTTCTTTCCTTTTTTTTTTTTTTTTTCTTTCTTTTTTAATGGAATATCTCTAGATCCATAATTATCTATAGTACAATCATGTAGAAAACAAAACTTTAGAATAGGCAAAAATGGAGAAAAATTGCATCAATAATAAAAGTTATTCTCGTTGTAAATTGCTAACAAACGAAATTGTTGGTGGGTATTTCTGGCAGTGAGCAGCAACAACATGAAAGCAATCAGTCTTTTTTACAAGGATCGCTTGGTGGTGTTTTAATTTAATGATAGTAGAGACAGAGAAAAGGAGCGAGAAAGAAAGAAATATGAAGGGAAAGAAAGAAGAAAAGGGGGAATTAATTACGGAAAAAAAAAATGCATTTTTACTCGCTCTCTTCTTCGTCATCATCATCGGAATCAGCTTTTTTTGTTTTTTTCGCTGTCTTTTTGTTGGCCTTGCCACGCTTTTTGCCGCCACCATTAGCCGTACTGCCACCATTCGCTTCAAATTCTTTGACAGCGTCTTCATAATCCTCTTTGGCTTTAGCAGCCTTAGCCTCCCATTCCTGCAAATTAAAACATTTCATTCATCATCAGTCTCACTTTATACGAATTTGCAAATTAAAATTTACCGATTTATCTTTCATTGAACGCCAAATTTCGCCACCTTTTTTGGCGATCTCTGTAACCCGAATACCAGGATTCTCACGTTTGATCTGTTCACGAGCTGAGCTTAACCACAACATATAAGCGGATAGAGGACGTTTTGGTTTATCTGTCATCTTGCTGGTTACTGTTGTTGTTAAGAAAAATATATGCTAAAATTCAATTGGTTTCAATCTTCAAATCAACTGGAGACACTTTTTGCTTATTGCTTATTAAGTTGCCCGCAGAACTTAATTCTATAACACACAAAGAGGGAATATGCAAATGGAACAACAGGAATTGAGTAACTATTTTGAAAACAAAGTAAAAAAAATTTCACTGAAAAAAAATATTTATTTATAAAATTTACTTTTGCTTAGCAAAAATATTTATGCTCTGTCTCCTTGAGATCTTTAAATGCAACTAACTGTACGGCATATAAAATTAAAAGACATGGTTTTAGCAGAACTTTTTCTCAGACTTCATATAACAACGCACAAAAATTCGGTAATGGTGGTAAGAACCATTCAACAGCAACAACGTTACATGAAATGCACACACAAGTATTCTATATATATACACATATATATATATATATGTACCTATATGCAGCAGATGCTGTTCAAAGGAGATTATTTGAACAGTTTTAGGTAGGATTCCGTTTGAAAGGCAATGTATTTGTATATTTGCTAAAAACCAAAAAACTACCACACTTTACGCTTATGTGTAGTCAACTTCATATATACTTACATATAAATATATATATATATATATATATATATATTGGGTACGTATGTATATATACAATAAAGAAACTACCTATGTTAAGCCAAATGAAAGACTGCTTAACGATTTCACTGTATAACAAAACAAATGTGATGACACATAATGAGAACGTATGCGTATACGTTAGGGAAGGATAATTTAAAAGGAAATAAGAAATGCTTTATATATTGTATTGAATCGAAACGGCAGGGAAATTATGTTTTTTTTTTATATAAACGATCATATTATTTATTAAATAGTTGACTGGGCTTCATACATCAAAATTGCGCGGCAGAATTTGTATAGAAAGCGTAGGAAAGAAAAATTGGCGCCGTAATAGATAAAACAAAAAGTCGAAACACATGTCATGTTTCATGTTCTTTTCGATCGTATAAACGAAAATGAGCAATAAACGACAAGAATCAAAACAAAAAAGACATCAAAAAAGAAAGACATTATTAATCAAATAATGAACGTATGCGCAAAAAGGCGCAGAGACGAAGGAAAATAAAAAAAAAATCATCGATAGTTTGGAACGTTTACAAATGTCTTCCGGCAAATGTATTTGCACTTAATTCTTTTTGAATTAGCTCAAATCCCGATTATCTTTCATGATTTCTTTCAAAATTATTTAAAAGAAATTTTTAGAAATTGTGTTGTTTTCCAAAAAATGTACATAAGACAGACGATACATACATACAAGAAATATACTCTCTTAAACAAAGGATACTGCTGGCTTTTTTCTTACATGTTCGAAAAAAAAGTTTCTTTCGCAATTTTGCCATATAAAAACACAAAGCTACAAATTATTTTTACGTTATTTTAAAAAGTTATCATTTAATTGCGTTCCATTTTAATGTCTAGATTGAGTGAAATAACTAGAAATGAATCTAAGCAATTTTATAATTTCAAGCCAAATTTCCTCGCACTTCACCTATAGTATTCTAATATCCTTCATTTTGATATGTTTTAAGTACGAACTTGAAAAATGGCGCCAAAAAATTCATGTGCATGATAATACCGATGAGGGCAGCCCACTTTGTAACGCGGTCGATAATTCGACTTAAAAAAAAAAAAATAATTTTCCTAATTAAGAGAAATTAAATTTTTTTTAACAATAAAAAAAAAGGGCACAAACAATTTGCGTATATAACAAAAAAATCATTATATTCTCGGAGCACCGAAATTAATTTGTCTTTATAAGAAATAATTCGCTTAATGAAACAAAGTTAAAAATCAATATGGCCACGAAGAAAAAAATGACATTTTTCGTATTAGAAAAAAGAAATTTTTCGTTTAATTTTTACGAATGCAAAAATTATGATTTTTTAAACACAAGCAAAATATTTGTAACATTATATTAGACATCAGCATGTAAATAAAATCTATCAAACCAAAGTGTCATATTGTTAAGGAAAATGTGCCTTATATTAACCCGGATAAATAATACTTTCATTTAGATTGTATCTCTTTATTAATTCTACAATTGGTTTTAAAAAGAATTGCTTACCTTTTTTTTCACTTCTAATTATAATTTCTTCAAATTTGCAATTATTTTATTTAATTTCCAAATATTATGCTCGACTTTCTTTTTATCAATTATTAAACTCACTTTAAACACCGAACTGTACCTTCAGGTATGGATTTTACTTACTTAACCAAGCCAAGCTATTTTACAGAGTTGCCATATCAATAATTTTTGGTGGCAATTTTATATTGTGTGTCATTATAAAATTTTATATTGGCAATGAAACGGGAATGTGGGTATATATTGCATATCAATAAGAAACTGTTTACATGGACTACACATGCATTCACAAAATATATCTACCTATATACACTGCTTTCTGTCTATGTTGTGCCCATCTGTTTTGTCAAATACATTGGCATTTTATTATTATTTAAATTTCCAAAATATAATAAGAAAGAAAAACATTAAAACTTCTAGTTCAAAATACGTTCGAAGTTCAGTGTGTTGTTTAACTATTTGAGATATATATGATAAACGACAGATGGTTTTAAAGGCTTAGCTATGGATTTTTTTGAAATTTAAGCGCTTTTTGAGTGCGAATATCTCGTCCATTAATACTACACATATACAATATATCAAGTTATTTTTCATTCCCAAAGATGGAATTCGCATGTGTAAACGTTATTTAAACAATTGTAAAAATGTAGGGGTGCAAAAAATTATTTTTAATAGTTAAAAAAATTATTTTTGATAATTAAAAATATATTTTGTTTCATTGCTAGTTCTCAAATAACTTAATTAATATCACAATCAATGTACATTGTAATGGTAAGACTACAAATGGAAAAAGGTAAACATTAGGTCTTATTTTCATCAGATCATCAAAATCACGGCTTTAGTGAAGTTTTGAAAGTTGACACTTTCTTACAAACATAGGGAGCTCTTTTGCATACAAAAAATTATAAAGCTAATTGAAATATCTACAAAGTTTTTAGGCGGCACTAAAATAACTTTGAGAAACCCATGAATTGCTCATCCTGTATCTTTCAATAGAACGAAGTCGACAATAATCATGTGTCAAAGAAAACTGAATGCAGCCGTTGACCATATTAATTTTTCAAACATCTAAATAAAGTATGAAGAAAGATTGCTTATTTTTCAGATGTTAAATTCAAACTTTCTCACGACGCTGGTAAAAATTAATAGGTTGGCAACTCTGGAAAGACACCTGTTTTAAATTAAATGATGCAGCACGTGAATTCCTGTTTAGAAACTTATTTGACATTTCCAGTGTTTACTTCGAATAAGATTTGTAAATTAACCGGTAAATGACATGTGCTTACTTTTTTTGCTTTAAAATTATGATAACGGACCTGATTAAAAAAATATTTGTGAATTCATAAACGTAGAAAACAAGTATGAAAATTATATTCGGCTAAGACTGAATTTTGCATACCCACCGCAATTAAAGTCTTTAGCGCTCCATGCTTTTACTTATAATTATGAAAAAGTGAATGGGATAAAATTTACCTTCCACCTTTTAGATTGTTAAAAGTTATTGTTAAGAAAAACTTAATTCAACGCGTCATGACGTCCACATCAATTAGAATCAACACACTTACCTTGTCGCATTCTACTCTCCAAGTTATTTTATTTAATTTCGATATGCATGATATTATTAAGAAAAAATTAATTCACCAGGTCTCTATCGTATTCATTTTAGGTTTAACGCATTTTTAGGCAAATAAACATTAGCAACATCTTCATTTGAGGAATGTACAAAACAGTTTTAAACATTTCGTCTTATTTACCTTATGGTTAATAAGCATAAAAACTCGAAAAAGTAAAAAGAAATTAAAATTGAATCACTTGTGTGGTTGTTTTTTTTCCATTTTCGCACATAAATAGTATGGTTTTCTGTAAAGTGAACGTGGAAAATTTCAATTTTCTATCTTCTCTTTAATTCGCGGGTAAGGAGCAAAAATCCACTAATACTTGTTTAGAAAAACGGAGTTGAATACAGTTCACGTTTCACTGCGGAGTTGTGTGCTGCGACCAATTTGGCCCTTATTCAATACAAACCTGCGTACGAAGACTTCAAATGTTTGCATCGAATTTGAAGCCGACGTTTTCTATTTTGGGACCGGTAGAGTGCCAGCAACATACACAAACACAGGCGGATAGACATGGTCTAACTAATATTGATGGATATCAAATAAAAATGCACTTTTCATCTTTACCTGGTTTTTGGATAGGGATGATGGTAAAGTGGTGAAACGCAAATCAATATGCACTACAACAAAAAATGCCTTTAGTACATTGTTTTCTTTTCATTTTGTACACGCAAGTGGATGGATGACTGCGTAACTATATGTTTTTATCATTTTTTTTATCTTACGTCGAAAAGGGCGAATTTCTAAAAAATATAGAATGCTTCGTCTTCCTGACCTGTCAGTTTTTGTTTCTATTTGAGAAATATTGTTCTCATAGAAAAGTCACAAAGCAGCAATCTCGTCGCTCCGTCAGTGAGGTATATTAAGTTAGCACCGTGTTGTAGGATACGTAACGGTCGGCGTTGCCCGACTATAATGTATTAGTATTATTTTCGGAGATTTTGATTACACTCTCTTCTCGAATGACTTAACTGATTTTCTAGCAACAAACTAATTACGTCCTTAGCAATTGATTGTTTCCGAGAGCAGTTGGTGGTTTCGTTGAGCTGTATTTGTTTTGTAGCATTGCGTTGGTCCTTTGGGATCATCTGAAATCACCAATATCTACTTTTCGGTCGTATAGTATACGACGTGTTCATCTATGTTCAAATTTTTTCTCCCCCCATCCAGTTAAATTCGACAAGAACACTATAGTTCGGCAAAGCCGATCTTTAAATGCCTTACATCATTTTGTCAAACACAATTCTTATTTTTATTATAGAACACAAAAATTATGTTTTTTTTCTATCGTAACAAAACCAATTTTCATGAAATCCTTACGTAGGGCATAATCCAAAAATAGTCATGGATAGTCCAAATTTTGTAGAATTAATTTTTGAATGAAATTACTATGAAGGGCTAATTTTCATCACCAAGTATTAAAACTTAGATTTTTACTCTCCACAAAGGACCAATTTTCGTGAAAATCCTTATTCGGATAAAATCCGAAAAATTATCGAGATTTAAAGTTTGGTATTGTTAATTTTTTTATGTTAAATTACTGTTATAATAAAATTTTCATCATGGAGTATTGAAAATTATATCATTTTGTCGTAAAAACTTCAATTTTCGTTATATGGGAGCGGGTTCAGAAACTGCCCCACCCGGTCCAAGGTTTTCGTACCAATTTAGAATGCCCAAATACTACTATTTAGCTAGTTTTACTGAGAAATTTTGAAAAGTTCAATTTTTTTTCCATAGAACGACTTTTCAAAATGGGGCGTTATATGGGGTATGGTCGAAAAAATAAACCGATCTGAACCATTTTTAAAAGCGTTCGTCCTTGGCTCAAAACACGTGATTGTAGCCAACATCTCAAAAATTGCGACCAGCAGGTTGAACAAAAATTCACATAGAAAGACATCGAATGGACAGAGGGACAGACAGATTTAGATCGATTCAGATTATGATTCTAAATGCATCGGTATAATAAAAGATGAATTTATCTTAAGCCCTTTTGGATGTTACATGCGTACGCACTAACTTCACATTACCTGTGCCACAAAGCGGTATTGGGTATAAAAACCGTAGATCTTTTAATACATGTTATTAACCTCAATTGGAATCAGTCTAATAACTTATTTGAATAGGTGTAAGTAACGATAGCTTCGCTTGTTCTCTTGTAAAGATTTGAACTCTCTTGAGCCATGGGTTTGAGTTAACTGTAGATCTTGTCTTTCATATTTAACATCTAGGAAGTATTATAGTAAGTTTCTGTAAAATTTGAAATTCTTAAGTTTTATTAATGTTTTTGTTACTTAATGATAATGCTTTGAGTTTTGAAAAATTTAATCTACATTTACATTTAAAAATTATTTGTAATGCGGATAAATTTTTTATTATTATTTTTTTTTTTTTATTTTCTCTCAATAAATGTTTACATTGTTGAGTGCAGCTGCCTTTCCGTTCGAAAAGTTTGATTAGCATTACAACAACAATGTAACAACAGTGTAAAGGATTCGTTATAAAACTTTTTAAAAATATTTTTTTTTTGTTTTAAAAATATGAATTTCTTTGTTTTTTGTTTGTATTTTTTTTTCTTTTTAAATAAATACACATTTTTAATGTAAATCATTTTTTAAATATATATATTTATATTTTTTATATTATTATATTAATTTATATTTTTTTTTTTCTCTATGTTGCATATAAATATAAAATATATATATAATAAGATTAAGTGTGAAACTTAATTAAAAAAAAAAAAAAAAAGAAAAAAAAAATATTTTTTATTTTATTTGTTGCTATTGTTTTCTACGAAATATAATTACTTTTAAAAAATAATTATAAATATAATAATAAGTCTAGTGAGGAGAAAGAAATACGTACAATATTTTCAAATTTTTGTAATAAAAAGAAAAGGACAAGGTGAAGAAGGTAAGGTAAATACATTAAATTTTGAATTTTATACAGGATACCAAGGAAAGGAAAGGAGAGAAGGGAAGCAAATAACTTCACAAACAACCGGATTGGATTTGTATTGGACATATTGAGAAGCTATTACATTATAGGGATTATTTTTATATTTTTTCATTTTCGACTGTTTTTTTTTTTTTTGTTTTCTTTTGTGTACTGTGTGTTGATTTCACAAATAAAAAAGAGAATTTTCAAAAACATTTTCTATCTCTCTCTCTTTTGTTTCGCTGATATTGCAGCATTTCATTTTGCATATATTTGATTAAAGTTTTTTTTTTTGTTGTTTTTTTATACATGTATATATATATATATGTATATATTGGTATACATCTTTATATATATACATAAATACATATATATGCATACACACTGATATACATACATATATATATTCATATATATATATATATGTATATATATAGTATAAATATATATATATACATATAGATATATACGAATATATGCCATATATTCTTATTTTTATAAAATGTTTAAAACTTATGTTTTAAATTCTACATTACACATTAATTCTTGTTGCTTTGTATAATCTTTTGTTTTGTTTAGCATAAACTCTGTCAAGTTTAGCATAAATAAAATTTTTGTTTTTTTTATCTTTGATGAGATGAAAATGTTTATTCACTTTCTTCTTCCTCTTCTTCTTCTGATGTTTCTTTCTTTTTGGCCTTCTTGGCTGGCTTGGCAGCCTTACTCTTTCGTTTCTTGCCGGCGCCGGTATCAGTGCCACCATTGGCTTCATACTCTTTAACTGCCTTATTATATTCCTCTTTCATTTTAACAGCTTTTTGCTCCCATTCCTGAAGTATAAACATGAACATCAAACGAAATTCAATCACACACACACACACACACGCACGCGCACACACACAATTAAAATTGAAAAATCTCAAATTGAAAGTCTCAAAGATGTTATAGGTTCTTGATCAACGTAACTATCTATGCGCCTAGTAGGCGTGGAACGCATGTAATAAGTCAGAAATAAATGGAGGAATACACCCCCACACAATCATGCTCGTAACCCGTGAAAACTGAAATTTACAATCTACACAAAGCAAGGTTTGAAATTTTGCCGTTAACATTTATGTCCAGAAATTTAGAGTCAAACGTGACGAGTAAATTCGCAAAAGTATTATTAATAACATGTGCTGGATTAGCGAAAATACCTCTCGAGACTATCGATCTCAATCGTCTTGATCCCAACGAACGAAATATTCGCAATGTCTACGTATTGAAGCGTGAAGTGATGGATGACAAGCATACTACGCAAATCCATCTTCTTGGCAAAAACGCAGTATATTACGACAGAGTAGATTCGAACTTCTTACAACATGGCCTTAACAGCAGCGCACAATATTAAATCATTTGAAAGAAGCTTTATAAGCTGTGACTCAGTACACGCTGTTACAAGCGGTAATAATGAGGGTCTATCGTACTTCACGAACCCTTGCCATCAGGCAGTGCAATTTAGTCGAAATTGAACTATGAACAATTAGAAATAATATCTCGGGTCAATTAGGAGGAAAGGTTTCTTGAAATTGGAGAATGTATAAGAAATGTTTGAAAAGTTTTCCGGGCACAGAGGAGCCTTAATCTGGATTTTATTCACGTCTATTTTCTATAAAATTTTCTAATGATCGTTATTAGATTAGTTACTGAAGACTGTCTACCGAAGACTGATGAAGACAGATGACGACTTATGAAATTACGCCAGAGAAACATTAGTATATAAATAGGTCGATAAACAATGTCATCAATTTATTTTCATAACAATTAAAACATTCATTCTCACTATTAATCGGTCATTGCTTAATCGAAATGAACTAATAATTAATAATGCAATACATACGTACACAGATTGCGAAACTTACCGTTTTATCTTTGATTGCTCTCCATAGTTCGCCGCCTCTTTTGGCGATATCGGTTACTTTGCTACCAGGATTATCTTTTTTAATTTGTTCACGATTTTCATTTAACCATAGCATGTAAGCAGACAAAGGGCGTTTTGGACGTTCACCAGCCATTTTGTGGGTTTATTTGAGTAAACTGCAAAGTATATGAAGTCAGGCGAATAAATTAATGAATGATGAAAGCACTCAAATAGTCGTAAGACAATTAATTCAATAAGCCAATGGATATATAAGAAAATATATATATATATATATATATATATTTGTATTTGTAATATATAACACTAATATACACATATATACGTTTATAAATATATATATATATATTTTTCATTTATATATATCTTGTGTTTAGGTATATATGTGTAAAGAGTAAAAAGGTATGTATTAAATTGCATTTTACCGCTAATTAACATATATACATATACACAGAATATATAATAGGTAAATACACATATATATATATATATGTTGTAATATATGTGTTGTAATATAAAAGTTCACTTAAACTCATCACCTGTCAAACACGCGCACGTACATACATATAAATAAATATGTCTATATATATATATAAGAATATTTGTCTTGGTATTGGTATTTACTTTATGTCACATTACATATAATTCTTTATATAACACTCTACGGAATAAATAAAAGTTTCACATACCTACGCATTTATTTGCATACATACATCTATGAATACACACACACATATGTATATATATATATATACGTTTATATATATACATATATGAATGTGCATATAACGTAATTATTTATATTTATTTACATATCTGCATTTGAGCACTTATGTGGACGCGCACATAAAATTGTATATAAAAACGCAAAGGTATCTATGTTAGTTTGTTGTAGCGAGTGTAGGTGAATTTATTTAAAGCCTTTACTGATTAATATCAATATTTGTGACAAATGAGTGTCAGTTGTACTGTACACGTAATTATATGCATACATCCATGCATACCGGAATATATATATATATTATATGTATGTATCTAATATAAGAGTTTTATATTTTTATCTTTATATTTTTGCATACTTAGTATTTTATACTTGTAGTCATGTAGTCATAAGCCTGTGAAAGCAAACATTTCTTTAACAAGCATCGATGAAAAAATTTCTTAACAGCGGGAAAAATTTCCTAACAGTAACCGGTTATTCCCCTAACAAAATGTATTTAATAAAATTCTACGATTTGGCGACTCTCGCAAGCCATTTTTATATTTACAATTCCTCTTTGACTTTTTCTTCTTCTTCTTCTACTTCTTATTTTTTATATTTATAATTTTCTCTTTACTCATTTTCTTTTGCATATTACGTTTATGCCTTTGAAATGTGTAATGTTTGCAATATTACGGCAGATAAACATATCGAAATATTGAAAAGTCAGTGACATCCGTCCGGATACCACTCAAACTGCCACCCTCTCCTTTACTAAAACGTACAACATATTTAATATATACCTTTGTGTTTTACTCTGTATCCCTGATTTTACCACTCAACAACATAATGTTAAGCTCTAGTGCTTCTGCTTTACGCTTATATCCTGTTAAAAAAAATAGAGAGGGTTAGCAGCAGTGTGCCTTTTCTTTCATTTTTTTATTTATTTATTTTTATTAAAGTCACCAGTCCACGCTGACTGGCGACCTAAGTACTTTTGTTTCAAAATGTTCCATTTTATATAAAAAAATTTTTTTTTTTAGTTATCAAATAAGTCAAATATTTTTTTTTTAAGAGAAATTATTTATATATATGCACAACATGGCAGTGTGTTTAGCCTTTTTTCAGTCTGCTCTTGTGTTGGCATTTTTACGCTTATCACTAGAAGACATCGAAACGCTAAATATGTTATTGCGTTTGTAACATGATAAAAGTACGAGCTCTTAAAGTTTAACTTTGCATTCATCTATCGATATTCTTTTTATACCCTACACCACTTGTGGCATAGGTGTATATTAAGCCTGTGTGAAAAGGACTTGAGAGAGATTCAGCTTTGATTATGCCAAACGATTCAATTTTTCAATCGGTTTAAGTTTAACTGTCCGTCTATCTGTCCATCTCGGTTTCTTGGATTCAACGTTCGATTTTCTTTTTATACCCCACACCATTTGTGGCATACGGGTATATTAAGCAAAACGATTCAATCTTTCAATCGGTTTAAGCTTAACTGCCCATCTATCCGTCCGTCTTGTAACTGCCCATCTATTCGTCTGTCTTGTTTTCTTCTGTTCCATTTATAGGCCGCAAATTTTTGAAACATTTTGATGAAATTTGGTACACTCTCGCGTTTTGGTCCAAAAATGAATGAACGTTTTTGAAAATGGTTCGATCGGTCGATTACCTTCCATTTGAACAGTCACATAAATAACTGCATTAAACAAAGTGACGTAGGGTATGGAATGGTGGAATGTGGCTCACGATAGTGTTTTACACTTTTGAATTCTAAATTTAAACACGACATAAAAGAGTCTATCAATGAAATTGCTTTATTTGATATTTCCGTAGCTTTTCCATGACCAACAAGTTAGGAAATGCTTAGGCTAATGTTTTGACAGTGCATTTTACGTATAGAAAAGTCATTGTAATGCCCCGAAGTATGAATTACTAATGAATGAAATAACGATATGGTATGAAAAAAAAAGGTTACTTAAACAAAAAGTACAGAACCGCACGGTGAACAGCAATATAAAGTGGTTTGAACAATTTTCAGCTTAAAAGATTAAATTGCGATTAGAGAAAGCATTTGAAATTAATTTTGGCATTTCATGCAAAGCATTGCTATTTTCCAATGAAGATATTGACTAACAATTACTGTATTAGGTGTTTGCAAAAATTTTGATCAGCGACTATCTTTTTCAGCGTACGAGGACGCTAATCATGGAACCCTCAAAATTTGCATTTTCCATATTCATTTTTATACTCATCACCGAAGGTTGAGGGGTATATTCATTTTGTCAAAACGTTTGCAACGCCCAAAAGAAACCATCAGAGACCCCACAAAGGAATCGATTAAGCCTTATCTGTCTGTCTGTACGTCGCTGTGGTGTTTATTGGCCGCAAAAATTAAGCAATCGACTTCAAATTTGGCAGAAACATTGGAAGTTCTTGTAGGCAGATTGGTATTGAAAATGGGACAAATCGGTCTAAGGACACGCCCTCAGCCCCACAGGAACTGAGAACACCTCTGTTTTTAAAAAGGAATGAAAAATTGTTTTTTTGCTCATTACTCATAAACCATAACAAGTAAATATACAAAAATTTTAACGCATATTCTATTGGCGATGCTGTAGCATTTCTATATAAAGGTGGAAAAAAATTGGCGACGCCTATCCAGTATTATATTGCATCAAAATTTAATAATTTTTTAAATAGCTTTCTAAAGCATAGAAACAAACTCTCTCTTCTTGGCCATTGTCAAACTTGGAATGCACCTAAATATGTCCGCCTGTTCGTCTATCCATCTGTCTGTTTGCGAAACTCTGTAGCGTTTGTGGCAGATCTCCGTCTACTTCTTTTATCTCTTTTGGGATAACAGCGATGGGTATAAAAATTCGATTCCGACCGAATTTAATTTTCTTATTTGTTGTTGTTGATTTGAAGATAATTGCTTCCGAAGCCGATCGCACACGTACAAAAATTTACAGTGATGTTACTTCATCATATCCCAAATGTCGGTTTTGATATGATTTTGATTTCAATAACAAAAAACGGCCGGGAAAGGCTTATTAGCCGAAAATCTAGGACAAATTTTCGGAGAACTTTCGAACAGCTTAATAGTCGACAAGTTGACTGTTTCTAGACGTTTACATGCGATAGTAGATATTCAAAAGGAGGGAAAACGGCCACCTCGCAAATTGCATTTTGCTACAAGAATTGTCCAGCTGTTGTAGCTCGAATGGGAAGTTCTGCCACACTCAAACATGACGCCTCCTGCTCAGATTCGTGCAGCATGGCTTGGCGGGTCCGAAAAGTTGAAGAAGTGCGAAAATGGTTCGTTGCGTGGATCGCTACCAAATCAATATAAACTTCTTTCAACACGATGTTGCCACGTTGTCAAAAATATTGTAAGAGATTGTGAGAAATGACGGGAACTATTTTGATTAATATACCAACACATTGTGGCAATTTTTTTCAATTAATGCCTTCTTCAAGTGAAAAAATGATCAAAACTCTTGTAGAACCCCTCATAATATATGAAAAATAATAAATGTCAGATTCACTTTAAAGATAATAAATACACTTTTGTTATATAGCTTAGTGTCGTTTCCCTCTTAAAAGAATCAAAATCCAATAAAATTGGATTTATGTTTAGTTCCATAGCAATATTGCATAAATTTGTAGCAAAAAAGCAGTCGTAAAGTCATGTAATGTAAATGTGTTGCAATCGATGATTGCTCTATGTTGATGCAATTAAAAAATTGTATGTTATAGTTTGTTTGTTTGTTTTTTTTTTTAAGTTTTTGATTGTACCTTTGGTTGATTAATTGAAATATTTTCATGATAACTATTGCGATTGCCTATATAATGATACATGTATAAATTATCAGTTTTGTGTGAAAGTATTGTGTTATAGTATTAGCGCAATGCATATAATTTTGTTGAGAGAACGATACAATAATGTAATGTATCAATCGATCATTTCAATAAGAATACAATACGAACAGTTTTACTACTAATATTAAGTATTAGATATAAGTAATAATGTTTGCATGCTTTGCATGTTTACTTTTTGATATTAAAAATAAATAATTACTTGATAAAGAAATTTTTAAAATTATGAAATGACAGATGTGTAGAGAACTAACATTCATTTCGTATGCAATATATGTATGTAAGAGATGATGAAGTTTACGGTCTACCGGCCAAAAATGTTTTAGTAAAGGCAAGTGAGACAATAAGAAAATACTGCTCATCTCCAAAGCGAAAGTTAAGTGTGCGGCACTGTAAGGTAATATGTAGGATATAGGAAAGTTATTTTGTTTTATTACGGGTTTTTATTGCCTACAACCCTAAACCAGTGTATAATAATTGTAAAATTGTGCGTCAGTCGGTAGATTGGTGACAACTTTACGCATTACTTTATGTTTATACATTTCAAATGTCTGTCTGAAATCAATTATCTAGCAAAACACGATTGACAGACGGACGGATGTACGGAAAGATAGATTTAGAATCTTATTATAAGAAAATCTATAAAAATCTTGATGACAAATGTCTTTTCCGAATGAACTACCTCACAAAGCACGATGGACAGACGGACGGATGTACGGAAAGATCGATTTAGAATCTCATTGTAAGAAAACCTATGAAAGTCTTGATGAAAAATGTCTTTCCCGAATGAACTATCTCACAAGCACGATGGACAGACGGACGGATGTACGGAAAGATCGATTTAGAATCTCATTGTAAGAAAACCTATGAAAATCTTGATGACAAATGTCTTTCTAAAATGAATTATCCAAAAAACACGATTGACCGACGGACGGATGTGCGGAAAAATCGATTTGGAGTCTTATTTTAATAAAGATAATCTATTCAACGTATTGTGAGGTATTCTCTCTCTTTAATTAGAACTCTGATGTTCTTCGACTAAACTTTTTTAGGGACGGCTTGAACAAGAAGTTTGGTATTCATATCTGCCGCAACTTGGTGTTTTATGCATGTACAATTATCAAATGGGGCGGCTTTCAACAATAAAAGTTTTCATAAAGAAGGTTATGTGGATGAATTTAAAAACACTGGTTAGTCCACTTGGAATTTTCGGCATCATGACAGCAGACTTCCCCCTTTCAATGGGTATTTTGCTGAATTTTACCAAGTCCCTCTTTTTTTTCTGTATGTATTCTTTACACGATTAGAATGTATCACAGCAAATATATGTCATACGTGTGCATTTACATAAATATGTAGCGGACATGTATTCGATTTTGCTCTTTATTGCACGGAGCCGGGTTATTAACTGATCGTTTAGGCGTTTTCCAATCATCATTTTAAGCTCGATTCTTCTCTATGATATTATACGCATTGCAATGATGAACTTACTGACATTTAAATCTCTACGCAACGACACGCTGAGATTGCAAGCACACAATCAAGCAATCACATTGAAATATCTTTTCAATTGTAAGCGAAAAGAGAAATTTATAAAAAGAATCATAGGATTTATGTCAAAACACAAATGCATTCCTAAAACAAGTAAAAACGTTATAGTCGGGCAAGACCGACCATAAATACCCTATTACTGTTATAAGTCAATTTCCGTCAACACATATTAAAATTTAGACTTTTCTACACTGCAAAGGATTAATTTTCGTGAAAATCCTTACTAGACTAGGATCCAAAGAATAGGCCGACATGGTACAGTTAATTTTTTTTATATTAAATTACTATTATGACACAATTTTCATCATGAGGTATTGAAAATTATACATATTTGTCGTATGAACTGTAGTTTTCGTTATAAGAGAGGGGTTCAGAAATTGCCTCCGGCCAATCTAAACTTTTTAGACCAATTTAGTATGCTTAGCCACTTTTGCCGATAAATTTTTAAAATAGCATTTTACTTTCCATATAAGAACTTTTCAGAAGAAATGGTTATAAGGAGAGTCGTCGAAAAAGTGGACCGATCCAAACGATTTTCAATAGCGTTGGTTCTTGAGTTAAAACGCTTGACTGTACCAAATTTGATCCAAATATTGCTCAAAAATTGCGAACTCTAGCATGAATAGACATCGGACGGACAGAGGGACAGACAGGTTTAAATCAATGCAGATTATGATTCCGAATCGATTGGTATAATGAAAGCCCTTCTGCATGTTGCATACGTTCCCTGCACGACAAGTGGTGTAGGGTATAAATATGCGTAACAGAATTGCAATATTTATTGAGAGCATTTTTTTTTAACGTATTTTACAATTGTTTTATAAAAACTAATGTTGAATAGAAACTTTTCGTTAAAAGTTAGTTAAGTTTTCGCGAGTTTTACATAAGTTATAACAAAAAAAAAAAAAAAAAATTTTAAATAATTCTTCTTCTTTGTCTTTCAGTCCATTATTAAATTTCTTTCCTCGACGATGCTGTACGTTTCCATTTCTTCTCCTTCTTTCGCTCGCATTTCTGATATTCAAATTTTTTTTTTTTTTTTTACTATTGTTGCTGCCACTTGTTTAGTCTGAACGGGTTGACAAAGTTGTTGACAAAGTTGTTTTTTTGAATGATCAGCTTTCATCTCCCATAGCGTTACTTGATAATGACAAATAAATAACTCTTTCTACGATTCGTGATAAAATTTTAATGCTACACTATCATCTTGCATATATACTTGTTCAATTCAATGCAGTGCAACGGATTGCATTAGAAAATACAAATTATGCGCAGCCACTCATTGCTAATAAAAAAAAAAAAAAAAAAACGAAAAATAAAAAAATAAATGTTCTGAAGTCCTCCGTACGTAAACATCGTTTTCACATACATTTATATACTGTTTAACATTTCATGTTCTGTTCTTTCTCAATTAGCAATGAAGCGGTTAACACTGGATGACTACCACGGGAATGTGCTACACGTGAAATGTTATATATCTATGCCGTGTATGCAATTTATATTCGATTTTGAGCCGTCACCTCATGTCAACACGGAAGATTTGCAAAAACATTTTGTTATTTATGAGCGCCTATAACAACCGAAGAGGATGACGGCGTTCGCGTTGAGCTTTTAAACGATTCTGATAAACATTTGTAGTAAATTTCGCATCAATTGTTGCCGTTGCTTGCACGTTACAGTTATATAAATTATTATTTCGCATTCATTCAAATAACATATTATATAAGAGATATATATGTCGCTTTGAGTTTTCTATATCGAATAAGATATCCGTCTATACAACATTAGAGGGACACATTACAGTCCAATAATGCCAATAACTCAGACTTTATCTATATATATTTTGCAAATATATGGAATTTGAAATGTGTATTTCAATTCTTCTTCTTGTTCTTCTTCTTCTATTCATCAAATTAACTACCGCTGAGATATTTAAAAAGGGCCCAATGTGAGTATTTCAATTCTATTGGCCATCGTTTAGTGGTATAGCTTCGTACAATTGGAGAAACATGTCTTGCACTGATTTTTCCCTACCACAAGCATGTTGTGGTGTGTTGATTATGTGTCTTCTGATATGTGATCTTATGAACAATAAGAACATTGTACTCGGTTATGGCCGAAACTGTTCTACCTATCACTTGGAAAAAAGGCAAAAAAAAAAAAATAAAAATAGGAAGCATATGAAATTTCGAACGGGCGTAATCGACTTTTTCGCATATGCTTAGGCCGATTCAGAATGTGATATTAATCAAGACTATATCTCTATGTATGCTTTATAGGGTCTCTCAAGTTTTCTTCTTGATATTGCAAACATTTGGTTAAACCGCAAATCTCCTCTCCTCTTGAGGTTATGCAAACTTCCAGGCTACTCAAGGTCGTATGGACGTAAGCGAACAAGCGCGTAGTCATTTGACCTCGGACATATGAAAATATTCATACACCACACTAAATAATGCTAAATTCATATACGCACAGTCCTGTTCACGCACAAATCTATTCATAACTATTATGTGCTTGTCCAGAGTCGTATATGTACATATAAAGGTTATACGATATTGCCGTCCATCGTTAATTTGCAAAATCACGAAAATAAAAAATTAAAAGTTTTTTTGGTCTCTATGCTTAAGTCCGTAGATGAAATTTGAACGTATTTATGATCCATATATTTATGTATATGTGTTTTTGATCCGTATGCGTGCACGCACACACCCCCACATATATATATCTTTCTCGGTTGTAAAAGTAATTTTACTGCACCGTGTGGTGGAAGATGTAAAAAGTTAAAGTGGCGGGAATGTTTTGCCGAAAAGCAGTACGCATCGGAACTCTGACATTTGCGACCAACTCTTCCTCTTTTCTTTTCTTTTTTTTTGCTGTTTGCTGTTAATCGTATGAAAATTTGGGTCCCAATCATTACTTTGTGACTTTCTTTCCAACTTTTCTAAGTTAGATATATCGACGAGTCTTCCTGTTCCTCATTATTGCTTTTGTAGAAATGGAGCAACAAAACTTAGTAGGAAGGGCGCGCATGCTCATTGTTGCACTTTACCTAATATACATTTCAACATTTTTTTCGTAATTTTATGCAAAATGATGTTTTCAAAGGTTTTTGAAAATACATAAAAGAAGATGACGAAGAAGAAGAACTCTCGGAGGGAATATCATTCGGAGAAATAAACTATTTGACCCAATAAAACGTATAAATAAACATTTTAAAAGAAAAGTAATTTTTTTTTTAAAATGTTAACATAGTGTTATAATCGCACATATCCGCAAGCATGTACTACTATATATGAATAACCAAGAATAGGGCAATATTGTAGAAAAGCTGAGAGCACCGAATAAATTTCTGCATTTTTTTTATAGTTTATTTTTTTTTTAGTTTACGTACATTAGTAGTGTGTGTGTGTGTGTGTGTGTGTGTGTGTGAATGCGAATTTGATGAGACGACGGAATAGGCGATGATTACGACTACGCTACGACGATTTCGCTCTTGATGTGGTCTGTGACTTGTGAAGAAACAAGTACAGCCAGGTTGTACTAAAATACTTTGGCTAACTTTGTAAACAAAAATGTTTTCAATTTTATATTGTGAAATGTGGAAAACACACTGTATTCATAGTTTTATATTAGAAGCGCACAGAACACAGTACGAGCGTACTAGCACAATAATAATACTATGAGAGGTAAAAAAAAAACACATACACAGAGAATATTATACTTTACTCTGTATGAACTGAAAACGTACCGAACTAAAGTGTACTGAACTGAACTGAATTTAATTCAACTAACTCTGCTGGTTGTGTTGTTTCGTATCCACAAGGAAAAATTTTGCTATGGGTTTTACAGCAGTTTATGTATTGTATAAGTACACTGTACAGTGTACTCTGTAGTATGAAGAAGAAATAAATAAAAATGTTATGCATACACAGAGGAAAGCTAAACCGAAATGTATTTTGAGTTTTTAGAGGGTACGACGTAAGTATAACGTATAAAACGTATAAAACGTATGCTCCGTATATCTGCATTTATACAATAATAATATAATATGCCACTACTATCACACAGAGCAAACCAACTAGAGTCAGTCTAACAAGGCAAGCAAGCAAGCAAGCAAGCTGGCAAGCAGGCAGGCAGGCAGGCGGTAAGGCAAAAATGCTTGAAAAAAAAGGGGAGAGCAGTCAGACGGGTCGGTCGGTCGATTTGTTTGTTAGTGGGTAGTAGCAGTACTGAGCGCAGCAGTACGTATGAAATGAATCAACGTATATAATTTTGTTTGTATGGTAGGAAAGCTTACTGGCTGGTTGAGATTTTTAATAAGGCAAAAGATACATTAGCAAGCGAGCAAGCAAAACACAACGAGTACATGTTCGTTTGTATTCATATGAAAAATCATGTTTGTATATCTCTCTCTATGCATACAGAAAATATATATATATATATATATATATATATAAATATATGTACATATATATCTATATACACCCATACAAATCTACATGTACACGAAGTGCGCCAGTACTGAAATTCATATAGAAATTTTTGTACTGGCTGTACTACTACGAATATTGAGCACAAAATATATGGTAGCTGTCGCTGCTGCGACTTTATGTTTGCATATTTAGGATGAGAGGGGCCGTATGGTGCGGTATGAAAAGGCATTGAACAGCAGACGGCTGACTATTAATACGAGCTAAACGATTCTATAATACTCTCAGTGCGTTGGAACGATTGTATAAACGAACCAACGAACTAGCAAACGATACTTTTTCATATTGTTTTCTGCGTGTAAAAAGCAATGGCAGAAGTATATGACAACAACAACAACAACAACAAAACCATATTATACGTAATAGCAGCAGCAAATACTGGCAGCCATATAACCCAGTATATGACGCCAAAAGCCTTAACAACTATTGAAAAAATATATGAGAAATATACGAGAGTATAAGTATAAAAGCAAGCATATTGAATATACTAGCGACAAGGTACAGTCTGTGCTAATATTGATACCGTTGTGTAAATATGCACAATTAACCGATTAAAACGATTAAATATATACAAATTTTTTACATTTCTATTAAATAATAAAATAAAGTCTCCAAAAACTATACGAAAAACTTGAAATTTTAATTAAATGCAAATGTCTCTAATATAGAACGACACTGTATTTGCTACGTATAGAAACTCGCCACTCTCGCACTAATGTACTGAAAAATACAGTGTAAACTTTGAAAAAAGTCCACCAATAAAAATGACGTAAAATTTCTTAGTTGATTGTTTTTTTTGTTATAATTTAAAAAAAACATTATTAATCTTATGTATTATGCATGTATATAGCGATAAAATTCTTCTTCTTTTCAAAGTTCTTGAATTTTCAATAAAACCTAAACGTGTGCTTACCCCAACTGCATCTACTGTTAATTCCTTAAAGTTGGTTGTTCTAAGTTCGGCAACAACTTATACAATAAATGTACTGAACACGAAGAGAATAGTTAGGCAAACAGTGATGGCCAACAATATAGGGATGGATGTAGTTAAAAAATATGGAAATTCTTAAAGAAATATGTAATAAAATGTGTATATTAATATAACTTGGAATTACTAAATAGACAGAATAAAATTTAGTGATATGGATGCGGCGTTAAACACTCAATAAAGGCAACGCTCTATTTGATGATCATCAAACTTTTCTCAAACCCAAAATGGGGCACGGGGGGCCCCCCCCCCATGAACGATTTTTCCGATCATTACGGTTATGGTGTGGGTGTGAAAGTCTATACTTGAATATGAAAAGTTCAATTGGATTATGCGATTCAACCAATTAACTAGTATTTTTAAGAGATCGTGCATATCATAAATTAATGCTTGGGCAAGATGCAACGGACAAGAAGCATAAATGCTTTAATAACGCTTGCGGATCTTGATACTTTTTTTTTACAAACATAAGCTCGATCTATTTCCATAACACGCGAATCTGGCCTAAGTAGTGAAATAACGGTAGAAATCACGTCTTATTCCCGCCAAGCATATGTTAATTATACCGTTCGGCATATATAGGTATACATCAATGCATTTTGTTTATAGTGATAAACTCCTTTTTGTTTACAGATTTAAAAAATTAAGAAAACCTCTTCAAATCCTTCGTTAGGATTGAAAATAAAGAAAATATTTTCAAAAATACATTTAAATCCCAAAAAAATATTATATATATACATATATACATGTATGGTAAATTTATTATTATTATTATTATTATTAATTTCGCCTCAGAAATAAATTCTAAGACTAAACTCTTAAAAGCACTAGCATCTAAGGCAATCGGCTTTTATTAAAAACTCTACCGCACTTGAGATTCGAACCCACGACCATTGACTTGCTAGTCGAGATTCCTCCCCTTCGGCTACTCAGGCGGATTGTATGGTAAATTACATTACAAGTGTTGCCTAGTTTGGCACAAAGAAAATTCCACACAAATGAATGATTGCGACATGCATTGTTAAAGCTGATCCGCTATTTAAGATTTCACTCTAACTGTTTAAAGATAAATCTAGCTATAAGTGTTGCCAAAACGACTTAAGCCGCATTCACAAATATATTGTCCACGTATTAGCTCACTCTCTGGTCACTTAAACCTAAACCGTGTATCATCGGATGCCGTAAAGTATCGTGTTATATAACAGGTACTCACGTTAAATAAAAGGTAAATACATCTGTCCACGTATTAGTTCATGTCTAAGGTTTTAATGAAAGTGGCATGTCTGAAATGACTTGCAAAGCGAGGTGACATAAACCCCTAATATCCCTAATAAATTTCAATGAACACTTAAAAGTTACGTTAAGATAGGTACAATGACAAGCATACACTAATTTCTTCATTTTTGTACCTTCCTGCTATCGAGTGTATCGAAGTTTTATATATACATATATATATGTATATATATATATATATATATATAATGAATCTACTCGGATGAGATTAATTAGAAGTTATTCTTTCACTTACGAAAGGTTAAACGTGTTCAATTTTGTAGTTCACTGTATTGCTTGTATGTATACTAGCGCATCAGTTTTATTCAACATAATACAATTTTCTCTTGCAATACAGTAAGGGCCAATAATGGTAACGATTTCAGTAAAGACTTGAGAAAACCTTGTAAAATTGTTCTTTTATTTTATTTATATTTTTATTTATTAACGATAATTAGAGAAGAAAATAAAAATTGATAATTAGCCTTCACTGTGTCCTTAATAGCGTTTGCAGGCATTTAAGCAAACAAGTATAAAAAACTTGATAGAAAATTGTCCGGGCGAAGACAATTAACTTGCGGGTAGTAAGTACAGTAGGGGGTGGGG